GTGTACATGTGTGTGGGTGCATGTCAGGGGGAAATCTATTCAATTCAATAACTATATATATCATAAAAATTATTGTCAATGTCATCATCTTCATCATATTAAATGATAATCAAACATTACTTACATTTCTACTTTTACACAGTATACTTACATAATGACTTGTCTTCTATTCATATACTAGCATTACTGTGATATTTGAATTTAAAAAAATGGAAAGTGTATTTGATTAAACCTGAACATTACCTTTGTAATAAAACAGGCAGAAATCGGAAATGACACACCAGACTTTCTTCCAAACTTTGAACTTTGATCCCATTTTATACAGCCACCCTTTCATAGTCACCTGGTCATCTTTCCGCCTCTTTACCTGCGGAACCACATTTTTTGGAATCACTCGGTTCTTTACTTTTGGAGTTGCCGGCATTATTTGCGTTGTTGGTGGCATTGTTGTGCTGCCCTCTGGTGTGGATTGTACTTTGTTGCCTATGTTCTTGTTGACACTAACACTAACAGGCGTTGGTTGCGTTTTTAGTGACATAGTCAAGGTTTCATTATTCTCATCTGCTGGTGCCAATCTGCACATAAAATAAATATGATCAAAGAATTAAAATTAAATAGATTGTATTTCATATAAAAATCTATGTTATACCTGGTGAAGTTGAACACTGAATATTATTACAAAATAACACAATTTGTTAATTAATGCGGATATACTGTACAGTAATGATAGTGACTGATTAGAAATAGCTGATTTATATTTTTGATTTCTGTCACGTTTGATAGTGTGGAAAGCGAGCTTAACACGTTCGCTGCCAGAGACACTCGTCCCACTGGGTGTTGCTGAGGGTGCTAAGCAAGACTATATTAGTCATAATCGGTGTAACATTCTGGTGTTTATTACTTCTTTGTTATACATTGTAGAGCCACAGACTTAACGGCTGTTAGTTCGGGGAATATTCACCTCTAGACGATAACCTACAAATCACGAACGTATGTTTGTGTTATGTTACCGACAGTACACTCAATTGCACAAGTGAGGGCACCCTCCCATGGTTACCAACAAATGTAAAAAGCGGATGAGACTCACACTTTTCAGAAGCAATGAAACGTGCTGTCTCAGTGCCGGAGACGAGTTTACAGTCCCCTAATATTTTCCCGCCAATTTATTAGGCAGACAACCATTTTTATGATATATGACTAGGAAACTTGTTTTGCCACATGGGGAAGGAAGCCAAAAAATAGGTCTGGCAGTCAACTTGTTAATATTAAACCAAACCATATTTTCTTCATGCTTCCTGTGAACTTTCTTTAAAATCAATCAAATTTCTAAAGCCTTGGATATGTATACTGAAAACAATAGTTTGATTGTTTATCACAATAAAAAATTATATTAACTTGTTCAAGGTTTAGTTAATCTGGTAGTTTAATTTGTACCAACAATTTTTAAATTGTTTCCTGAACTAAACAATCTTTTACTTGTAACAAAGACCTGACACCAATTTGCTTTAATTAAAGAATAAACAGTCAATTGTTTTCTGTACTGTACACCTACAGGGTACAAGCTCTCTGGTATTAGTGATGATTGTTAAAGCAGAACTTAATACTCAAATTGAAACTGAATCCTGAGATGGAAGCCAGTAAGAAATATAAAACTCTGCTTTGATTATTCCATAACAAGCTTCCAATCTACAGACACTGGTAGGACATGGATAATTTACAATCACATGTAATCTGAAACGATATCAGTCATTACTGGAAACAATATCAGGTCTGAACACTATCATTACTACTGTACATCGATCCAATAGAACTCTGAATGAAGAGTATAAAAAGTTCTATTTATGAATTAATACGAAAAAGGATATTTCTGACCGAGAGCATCAGTGCATATAAAAGGGTTAAATTAGAACCTGGCCAGAAGTGTCTCAAAAATACTTACAAGTCAGGCTCCGGAGAAAAAAAAAATTTTGATATGTTGTAGAACTGATTTTTCTGAGACAGAAAAAAGGTTGTTTGAACTGAGCAACGGTGAATGAGATACAAATTTTTGAATATGTAAAAACTGGGGGGGAAAAGGTGTAAAAATGGGCGGTTACGCCCCTTTTTCCCCCAGTCTGTATCTCGTTCACCGTTCCCCAGTTTTTCGTCAAACAACTTTTTTCTGTCTTAGAAAAATCAGTTCTACAACATATCAAAAAAATGTTTTCCTCCGGAGCCTGTCTTTAAAGCTCTTTTCCTGCTGTCCACACTATCATGTACTGTAGAGTATGTGACGAAAAAATATAAGATACCTATAATTTGGGTGTATTCATCATCATACCCATATATGGGTACATCACACAAACTTGTCATAAAATTTTGATAGTGTCAGACTGAGCTTTCTTCATTACACCTCACTGTTTTTTTTATTAATCCATAAAATAGCGATTTTTATTTGGTACCGTTAGGTCTACAGAATTAAATGTCAACTTTTAGTTAGGGAATGCAGCAAAAAAAAAACCCAAAAAAAATGGATTTTCGAATGATATCAAAATGTTACGCTGTTAACTGTAGCATGAGTTTAAGTTTCTATTTAATATTTTTTTCATTCCTAAGACTGGGAAAAAATTATCCTGCCAGAAAAGACTATATATCACTCATTTTTATGCTCATAATTAATAATATTTCCTTGAGTCAAGGGGTTGACTATTAAAATGAAATGATAATTTAAACTGCAAAGGCTAGAAAATGCTACATGTATTCCATTAAAACAATTACAAAGTGCAGTTATGGTACCAAGGTTTAATTGACCTAATTATCCCTGTTTCATACTAATTACTATGTACTCAATCCAAGGCCTACTTATAGGAATCAAAGTGCATTCAAACAATATTTGGCCTAAAGTACTGTAACAGCACAGCAAAATATTGATCACAGACTAACAATGTTTGGAATAATTTGTCAACAATGCCAAAATATTTCTTCTTGTAAAGATTTGAACAATGACGATTATTTTCATTCATCTCATATATGACAAGATACTTATTTAAATATTTAACAGACTTGTGAATTCCTTAGGTATGAATCATTGACAATTTATACAATGGTTTACTTCACATGGTGTAAGCCTACACAGAGCAGACAACTGTAAAAGCTGAAAAATGATGATGAATCAGACAGCTTTATGACCAGCTCTGGCAAAACCAGCCATTTGTAGGAAAAATTTTTAAGTTAATGTTTTTGGTATTTTAAAATTTTGCATGAATTTTTCTTTAAAACAGTGTTTATTTTATGGAAATTGGTTGAGTACAGCAAAGCTAAATAATTGGATATCAGCCATGTATTTTTTTTTTTTGCAATTTAAACAACCTCCAAAGAATATAAAATCTATAGTTTATTTAAGATTTGTATTTTAAAAATAATTTTAATGTACTTTTCAGTTACATTTTAGTGATTGATATTTTGCAGAAATGTACTTCAATATCTTTTTTATAAAATGCAAAAACCTGAAAATGTTCAAAACTCTGATTCTCGAACGTTTTGGGTATTTGTGCGTAATTAGTAATCCAGGAATGCTGGAGCCAGTCACATTTTTGTATATTATTTTTGAACGAGTGTTCCTTGTGAGTGAACTTATTTTTACTTGCCTAAACTCAGCTATCAGTACAGTATCTGGTATTAAATGACTGTGTACAACTAGTACACCATTATGGCATGTAATATTCCAGTACAGGTACACACAAAACTCATCTAAGTACAGTATGGGAAAGAATATCAATGGGTCCAGTATGTAAGTCGCATTTTTCAAAAAACATGCTAAGCATGGTATTTTTGGATAAAAACTGATTTTTAATTGGTGATAGACACATATTTATAACAAGGAATTTTGAATTTTTTGTTTGTTTGTCTTCAGATAGGCCTACAGGACTTTATCTTTTAGTGGTAAAGTTTATTTAAGTTCATGAAGCTGTTGTCTAAGCCTGCCAAATGTTTTTGCATAATATTGCCAACAGAGAGACAGGCAGACAGGCAGGGGTACAGTACACCTTGGCAGAGGTAATAAATTACCATGTGCATATAACTCAAGTACAATATATCACTATTTAAATGTAATGAAAATTCTATCTGATTTGAAATAAATTGTTGAATAAATCTAATTTCTAGTGTGCTGGAGCCAGTCACATTTTTGTATATTATATTTGAACGAGTGTTCCTTGTGAGTGAACTTATTTTTACTTGCCTAAACTCAGCTATCAGTACAGTATCTGGTATTTAATGACTGTGTACAACTAGTACACCATTATGGCATGTAATATTCCAGTACAGGTACACACAAAACTCATCTAAGTACAGTATGGGAAAGAATATCAATGGGTCCAGTATGTAAGTCGCATTTTGTTGGTCAATTTTTTAATAGAGCCAATAGTAACGTAAGTTTACCGTAACGCAAGTTACCACATTTTGACATTTGACCTACTAATCGTAATCGTTTGAATTTTAGTTTACCTGTTAATAGTTCAATGACTACAATAATGTGATATGCATTGACTTTACTAAGGGATATTCTGTCTTTTTGTGTACGCAAGTTACTATGGTTTGATTACATTAAAAAAAAATATTGAAAAGCAGTTTAAAGTTTAAAAAAAATTTTCAGAAACGTTAAACATAATACTGTTTTAAATATAATACTCAGTTATGTTGAAATAATTTTATATTTGTGTAATAATCATTAGTAGAGTGGGGTGAAAGTAAAGTAAAAATGTTGTACTGTAAGTTACCATGGAATTGCCCATAAAGTAATTAAGCTATATACCAGATCACTGAAAGGCAGAAGAGCAATTAAGGAAAGAAGATAAAGAACACAACAAGAAAAGAGGGATAAACATAGATTACTTCAACTGCTGTCTAGACTCAATATCTAAGCCAATATAAGGCCCAATAAAAAAAATTATTAGTTTATCACCCTCGCGCGCATGTCTTTTATGGTACTGGGGGAAAAAAAATGTTTTTTTGAAAAAATTAAAAAAAAATTTAAAAAAAATGTTTTTGACATTTTTTTAATTTATTTTTTTCATTTATTTTATTAAATAGTTACTAGATATTGTTTGCATTATCTCAATCATGTTTTACTTTGAATATATATCAATGCACCAGCAAACAACCCAAGGATGATATTTGGCTTTAGAAAAATTAAAAAAAAAAAATCTCCCTCCCTCATCACTTTACCTGCCCAGAGTGGGTGATAAACTAATAATATTTTTTATAGGGCCTAAGTGTTCCTCATTTGCTTGATTTGAGTATTTTACTGTAGGACCTACAACTGTATATCAAGTTAAAAAAAAAAAACACACACAGTATGCTTGTGTCCGACATTATGTACACAGACAGTACTTGTTGAGAGTTCACCATGGACCAAGGTGACAAAGTACAGCAACATGTACTGTATGGTGATATTTGGATCCATATTATGATACTTTTATCTAGTTACTAATATAGTAGTACCCAGCCATGTGTACTGCACTGTATGTAAGGCTTCCATAGAGATCCCATGCACTCTAATTGTTGTTTTGGTCAATGGTCATATATTTATATATAGCACCTTCCACAGAAAACCGTCTCAAGGCGCTTTTGAAGCCACAAGAAACAAAGACAAAATAATGTGAAGGAGGTGGGGGGACGGTGCGCACCCTCGATTTTGAGATAGCGTCGCCATCACTACCGTGTACACGCAGGTACCTCGGCGTAAGTTTGTTTTGGGTTCCGCCGTGCTGCAGAGTTTCAATTTTGGAGGCTTCTGTGCCATGTGCTGATTCAAGAATGATCCATACGAGAGTGGTGCCTATAATACAGTAGTTAACAACTTGGTGTAGTTTTTGTTTGCCGGTGGTAATCCGGGAGGTCAACCTGATTTCTTGGAGTGGCGACTCCTTTATATAAAGTTACAGTACACCAACATTTGATAATGTAATAGGCCTACATCATATACCAGAATTATATTTTCTTCATTTAATACTACCAACAGAGTGACATTTAGAAGAACATGAGGCCAGTCACCAATATGATTAAGTCACAATTTGACACTTGGAATATACTGGACATAATAATGTTACGCTCAGTTTCATGCCAAAAGGGATGTCACTATACTGTACAGTAGATTCAAATTGGTTTTAAAACCTAGGCTGTCCAGACAGGATTTCAAGCATTTTGCTTGTGTCCAAATTAAGACACAACATACCTGTATGCTGATTATAGCTGCAACATTATGGAATTCTGAGTTCTCCCCAGCACTTGAGGCCTTGTTCGCATGTAGCATCACTGACATATTATACGGTCATGATATAATGGCGTTATGACCATATTTAGGCGGTCACATGTTTTTGTAAAATAAAAGTTGATACACCTACATTAAGGCAAGGATGTAGCTGTAGAAAACTAGGGTGGGTGATAAGACATTTCAAGGTACTGTAGGTGGATAATAAGACTGGGTTTTAAGGATGGAAAAGTGGGTTAATAAGAGTGCGTATAGGGCCATAATATTAGATTTAGATTGGGTGGAAAACTACAAGGCTGGGTTGTCCCACCCACCTCTGCCCATCATAACTACATCCCTGATTAAGGTCAAACCATCATGGATACTTTTTTTTACTTTTACATGGAGCTTTTACACACAATATGAAACAAAAGAAAATTACTTTATGTAACTTACTTTACATGGAACTGTGAATTATCCGCAACTTCTACAGCTGATGTTGTTGGATGGTAGAAAGTTGTTGTTTCCCTGTTGTGGCTAAAAAAAATAAGACAATTAATTAGATAATTAACACTCTCATTATATAATTTCATTTAATCGTCATCTGGGCAACATTGTTGTACACAGGCATTTAATTTACAGCATGAAAATAGTATACCAAAGGTGCAAGATCTTATACGTATTGAGGAAAAAAAAAAGTTTGTATTCATTCATAGTGACAAATAATTATCACAATCGTTCTACAGATGTGTTACTTCTCAGAGTGACAACGTTTATTAGGATTTTTAATTTGCATAATGTTTGCCCCACACAAAGCGGTGCTTTAGATCTCTGGTCAAATATGTACACTCCCTCTTGTCGCATTGCATGGATAGGCCTGCTGTAGTTCCTTGGTTATATTATACACTAAGCCCACCTTTTCCCAGGCAAAAGCCCAGTTTTGAATGCACAAGATCTGCATGAGATCAAAAAGCCATTTGATTGGCCATTTATAAATTATTGGAAATTGTGAGCTTGAAAAACGATTTTGTTTTTTGTGTAAAAATAAAAACACAAAACAATACAATAAAGAATACCCCACAAAAGGCCCAATTAAATACGATGGGATGAGCAAAAATACTACGGAATTTATCATAGGACTAGACCCATAAATACATAGGTCTAAAGTCCAGAACAAATGATTTTTTCATCAGGATCTTTGGTTGCATTATCCCTAGACAACTTATACTTGTCGGATTACTGATAAGTTGTTGTCAAAAGTAAGAAAAAGTGCCCGAAAATCTTCACCATGTCACGTTTGTTTGAAATTCTACATCGAATTACAATCGGGCCCAAAGACGACCGGGCCAAGTTTCAAAATATGTTATATTTTCCACTCAAGGCAAATTATTACTGTAGGTGGTGTTACGGAAATTTTTCATTAACAACAGACATATCTGAAGACATTAATAAGGAAATGCCTTTTACAAACTTGAAAAGTCTGTAATCATAGCATCATAAATCTAATTTTAATTTACTCTGATTGGAACTTTTACCCACTGTTCTTTTATATTTTTCTGATTATTACTTTTTTTTTCCATTTTTCATTATTGTGCTTTTCATGTAAATATTACAGTTTAACAAATTTAAAGTTCAAAATCATGTAGAGTACATTGAGTTTTGGTGTCATTCCAAATCTACATATGAGTAAGATTGAAGTGGTCTTAATCTATCTTTCAGGTCCTCATTGATTTATACCCTGAGGTTGGCATAGGTCAATGGAAAAGGAGTTTTGTTTCCAGGATCATGTACAGAATAAAAATAAAGGTGTTCTGAACTGTGAAAACAAGTTGTTTACATGAATTGCTATCACCTACGCAAACACACTTACAGTACAGTACTGTATTATCCTTAAAATCTAAGAATTATAAAGCCCTTTACAAAAAATTACAATGATGCTGTAAAATCATAGATTAATTTTAGGGATCTAATCCTGGTATGGTTACTAACTGTACCCATACCAGGGAAATATTTTAAAGTGTTTTCGAGACATTTGGCGTTTTCGATTGGGACTTACTGTTTCTGTTGAGTATGTTAGCCACACAACAAAAAAGTATTTCGAAAGTTACAGTACTGTAAGCACAAACTCAACGAAAAAGGTGGCGTTATTTAACCAACCAAATACGAAAAGTACTTTAACAGACCCTTTTGTTGAGCACAAAAGTTTCCTTTTTTAATTAATAACATTTAATACATTTTTAATTGAAATTAATTTTTTACCTTTTTTTTACCTAAAATTGTGCAAAATTCAGTTTACAATATAGTTCTACTATACCTAATTTTAAATAGGGATTGGAATAAGCTACTATTAAAACGTATATGTTGTAATTACAATAATATTATAGTGTATTAATTACACTTACATCTTCTTAGCAAAAATGAGCAAGAACTTTGAAACTTAGTGACAAAGAATAAAACATTACTGTACACCCTGCAGTGCTTTTTATACAGTATGCAAACAGTGACTGTACTGTAAGGTACGTGTTGGTTGAGCATTTTAACATAACATTTTATGGTTTCAATGCTCCTGTTAAATGTAAACACGGAAATATGTACTTTACCACTTATATGGTAGGCCTACTGTATATGAATGAGATGTTGTGAATAGTCGAGAGTTTTCCATAATAGGAAATGCAATTTAACTTGCTTAGTCATAAGTTTCATCCTTATTGTGTTATACAATTAACAATTTTGACAAGGTAAACCGAGATTTATAGTCTATCAAAACCTAGACAACATTCAGGCATGGGGTAATTGTAATTTGTAATGTAATCAATTCCTCAAAAGTATCTAAAAGAATTGGTGTCATCCGTCGTATCAGATATTTTATACCTCAATGTATTCTTAAGATGCTGGCTAAAACTTTGGTTTTTCCTTTGATTAATGTTCATGCGTATGGTCAAACTGCTCCATAGCATAGCCTACAAGTTCTTTTAAACTCCTCAGGAAGAATTTTACTTTTTGTGACATTAGGACACCAATTAATGATATTTTAAGCGTGTTAAACTGGCAAACTCTGAATGACAGATGGAGAGATCAATTATTATTCATAACTTTTAAATGTCTTGAAGGACTTGCACCTTCCTATTTAATTAAGATGATTGTTTTTCTCAATACTCGAAGTCAGACAAATAATCATCTTTTTTTGTTCTACAGTGGAACATTTGTCAAGGAAAACGGACCACTATCGAGCATCCATGAACTGGAACGAACTACTGTACCTAGTAACATAACTAGGGATTTCCAGAATTTAAATCAAAATACCTTGATGCTCTAAAATAATTAATCTCTCTATTTCGTAATTAAGTCCTTTTTGTTAAAATTTTCTTATATTTTCCTTTTCATTTTATCAATTTTGTATTTTTTATGTTATAACTGGACCACAACGAAAACCAGTACATTTGCATTGAGCGTGCCATCCAGTATAAAGAAAGTTGAATAAATAAAAATAAATAAATAATTACATTTCTTATGTAATTTGTAATTTCCTTCAAAAATGTAATTTATAAATGTAATGTTATTGTAATTAGAAAAATTTAATTTGTAATTTAATATGGCAAATACTGTACATTTGAGTACATACTGTAATTCCCATTGTCTGTATTTATAAAAATCTCAAATCGACATCCACTGCATGGCAAAAAAAAACTCATCCACTTTATTGCTTATTTAGAAATAACTGTTGTTGTCAAGAGTTTATCCAACTGTAAGCTATTCCTAATGGTTGTTATTTCACTTAAATTTAAAACCAAGGAGTGGTTGATTTGCTTTAAAATAGGATGCACTACTTACCAATATGTTCCCCACTGAATGTTACAGAGAATTCCATGATTAAACAGTATATCTCAAATTTACAGTAGGGCCTATCCCATATAAACCATTTTCTCAACCCACAAAAACTAAAATTACAGTGTTATTTTTATAAGTTATTTGTACAGTAACTTGGTCATTAGTGAGCAGGAATAGTCTAGCTATAAACCAAACTTTATATCTGAGATTAATTAGCAAAGAGTGGAGTTGTGTAGCTTCTACTAAATAGAAACTAAACTCCCTCATCATAAACAGAATAAAACAAATTTCCATCCTGCTGTGAGTTACTTTCAGTTGGGTAAATTAAATATAAACAATAAAAAGACAACTGTATGCAGATGATTTTAAAATTATATTGAAAAGTATGGTTTGTGTATGGCTTGGGTGGGCCTTTACAGAAGCCAATGGTATACTGTGTATATATTCCTTAAACCATTCAAGTAGGTCTAAATATCTGTTTAATGTATTAGTATGATTGAATGATTTATTATTGTGATTTTCTCTGAACATCAAAATGGAAAAAATTGTAATCATACTTGTAATTGAGAAAATGTAATTGTAATTGAAAAAAAAGTAATCATAATTGTAATTGTAATGGGAAAATATAGTGTAATTGCAATTGTAATGATTACAGTACATTTTCATTGTAATTGACCAGATGCCTGATAATTTAAAAAATAATAAAACAATCAATTAATTTAATAAATTCAATTGGTTAATGTCAGTAGCATACAATGGTCTCATACAGTACTGTGCAGGAAAGTTTTAAACGAAGAGCGAAAGCCGACTAAGGCTTCCAACTTAAAAATCAAGAAATTAGAAATTTAAAGAATATTTCATAAACTTAAGTCATTGAGTGCCATCTCCAATTTTCATTTTTTTCCATGTTTATAGACGGTGACCCTAGGTTAGCTGATATTCAGGGGCCCTCTAAATACATGAAATAATGTGAGGCTTAAGCGAAAAAATCCTGTGCTGTCACAAGGTTTGAACCCAGGACCCTAGGATTACAGTAGAAGGCAAGCATCTTAACCACTAAGCTACAAAGCCCAATAAAGCCCTGCTTTGGACTTTTAAGTCAAGCAACCATAATTTAACCACAAACAACATCAAGTGGGAATTGCATGGTAAGTTTAACTAAATATTGTTTGAAGGTTTGCATGGCAAAATAATAGCTTGCAGTACACCACGAAGATAGTTCTGAAAAGAACTATTGTTGATGTTGGTTTAACTGAGTGAACAATGCCCTATAAGGAATAAACGTGGCTGTTTTTCCTGAGCAGAGAGTCCAATGCCCGAATTGTGAGTGGAGATTTATGATTTATCGGTCAGTTTCGAGCAAGCAACACTGGTCTGATAGATTGATAGATGGATAGATATCAATCTCAGTATGCATGATAATCAGGACTGTAAACATTGTAATCTTAAGCCTACTCAGCAGATGAGATGAATCAGGAGGTAGATAAACATGAACCTGACATCTTACCAAGCAAGGACAGTTCAACTTTAATCCTAATAATAATAAACAAAGTTTAAAAGCAACTAACTAGGTTGAAAGACTTTCCGAATACACTTGATACAGTGGTGGGTCAAGAATATTGTTTTCCTGGTGACCTGAGAGGTATGGTAACCTAAAGTCTATAGGGGAACGGACCTTGTGGTTTTTGGGGGTTGTTAGTGATCTGGCTGAGCCGAGCAGGAAAACATCCCTTTGCAACCCCCGGATCTGCCACTGAAAACCGAAATTGTAAAGGAACGTACTGTAAAAAGTAATTTCTCTCGAGTCTCACTATGGACCTTTCTATAGGTCTCAATCAAACTTAACATTTGATTAATCTGAATCAGAACAGAGCCGGCCTGGAATACATGCGTCTAACAACCACAAGTGTTGTCCCACAAAGCCCCGGCCCCTCCCACCTTTTGAGAGGTAAAAAAAAAGAAAAAAAAGAAAGAAAAAACGATAACCCTCAAATGTTATTTTCGGGCATCTAAAACACAGAAATTTCGCAGGGGCATGCCCCCGGACCTCATATTTCAGTGTTTTCTCGATCGGCCCAAATTTCGGACCCCCCTTTCGGCCCACCTTTTTTTGACATCTTTGGATCCGCCCCTGAAAACGCACGTTTGCGTATGTTTAACATTTTTTTTTGTAGGACCAGTGACAATAACAAAGGGACGGGACTTGCCGGAAGGGTAAAAAAACCAATGATTATTACCATATAAAGTACTGATAGTTTAAATAATACTGGAGGTTTACAAAGTAATTTACTAATAATATCCAGTACATTTGAGAGTTTTCAATTCTTTCTACTACCATAATTTTACCCTGGAGGTATAAAATATTTTATACATCCATGATTCTACTGTACACTGGCAGTTTGATCAAGCAAGGGTCGATGAGGTCTCTACATGATGGAATGATATGAAAAACCAATGCCACCAAAATGCTACCAAAATAAAAATTAAAAAAAAAAAATAATTCATTAAACTTAATATCAATTAAGGTAACAACGGTTCTTGAGTCCAAAGTGAAATGAATTTAGTTTTCATTATTTCACAAATTATTGTTTGTCCTGTTTAGTATTTTCTCTAAAGAATAATAAACGTTCGCTCACTACATAATACTATTCGGTTTATTCTGAGTGTGAATACCAAAGATAACCCACAAAACATGAAAGACTAAATATTCACTGTGGTGCTTCTGGGGGTGATAGGACAGTACACCGGGAGACATTTCATCTTTTGTTCAGCGCATTGGAAACAACAGGTTGAATGTTGGTTTCGGACCTGAAGTCTGTCAGTGGGCTGTCTGTTGGCAGACAATCCATATACCACTCTGTACATACCACTCTGTAGAGTACAATTATGCGAGTGCTTCTAGGTGACTGTGGCTGCTAATTGTTGGTAGGCAGCACTCTTAGAAAGTAAACTGTTTTACGATCCGTCACACAGGTTGAAGGATTTTCAACCATACTCTACATAGGCGAGACTTTTGTTCCTTGTTTCGCGTACTTACTTTTTTAAAGATCATCGGAGGAGGGCGGAATAAAAATAAAATTAAATTTGGTTTTTTTATTTCTAAAGATAAGACTTTTTTATGACCTTGCTTAGCAAACCCACCAACTGCAAATATTGATGATTTTAAATAGAAAATAAAATTTTATTTTTGGTCAATTAGTTTTTCTATATTTTTATTATGACCTCTGCTGATATGTATATATTTTTTCCTAATTATATAAATTTTAAGCAAAACCATCCTATTTTACATTTACCAACGAAAGTTTATATTCATTTTCTCCTCCGTCTGGATGATTTTGGCATCCTCCGATAATCATTAAAAAAAAATAAGTATGTGAAACAAGGAATAAAACAAGTCTCGCCTAACAAACACATAAAATAGATTCTTGTCATTTGATATTTTATGAAAAAAATCTACCTTTTTTTCTAAATCGAGATTCTTTTCATTTTATATTTTATTATAAAAACCTACCATTTTTCTATAGAACAGTCCAGTGTTTCTTTAACAAATCAAAAGATAGTATTAGGTTGATCGTCAATGGGCAAAGACAGATGGAAAAAAAATGTACGGTGGTACTAAATTTCCATGAGTGACGAAAGGGGGTAAATAACCAATGTCAGGTGATATGAAATCCACCAATCAAATTACATAGACCAATTTAGGTGTTTTATAATAACCACTTAAACTAAAATCTACTGAAAAGTATCAAATTTTGAACCTCAAAAAATATATCTTGGATAGAAAAAAGTATTTTTGAAAAAAAAAGCTATGTTAGATTTCGGGATTTTGGTTTCGTCGACCTTGGGCAATGAACTTTCTTTGGCCTCACAAATTGATACCAGCTTAAAATATGGTAAAAATGCAAAATTTAAGTACTTACTTAACAAAGAAAACAGCACCCTCTGTTGTCCATCCTTGTTCCCAACCCTTTGGTAAATCTGTGGACAAGAAGTATGTCACAACTTAAAATGTTAACAATTTCAAGGGTATATTTTTAAAAAGGTTACAATAAAATCTTCTCATAACTCAAATTTGTTTTTTCCAAATCTGACAAAGAATAAACTGTTTGTTAAACTCATGTCATACTGTAGAAAATAAACTCCATATAGGTTAAAGTTTAATAATAATTCTGTAATTCAAACTGTAGTCCGTTCTTTTACAAGCAGTGTTATTAAATGTTGTAAAAAAGCTGCATGATTCCATGGTTAACTGGATTTTTTTTTTAGCTCAGGCAAACATAGTTAGAGTTTATGTTTCTTACTGAGAAATTCCTTGCAATATTTATTAAATATTTCTAATTTCTTTTTGTAAAATTATCACTTTTATGTATGCATTTTTTATAATAGTGTTTTGTTTTTTAATGGCAGACTGTGTTTTGTGAATATTACAATTGAACAATAAAGTATTCCTTTAGTCATGCTATACCGTAACAGCGTGGGGATACATAAAAATTAGCCCTCAAATTTGAACAGAGAATCGATTGGAAAATTGGTGCTTAGAATCGTACCTACAGTAACTGCATAATACATTGGATTGACAGATAGGCCAGTGCCTAATTTTATTCAACATATTGGGCAAAAATCAGCTTATATTTTCCAAATAAAATGCAAGGACAGATTTCTAGGCTAAATTTTTGCAGAGGATATTATTATTCCCTACACAAGCCTTATTTACACACAGTCGGGCCAGAAAACATATTGCTGCGTTACAGTACGTTTAAGTTGGGTACTCAAAAGGATAACTCTGTTGGTACCTGACATTGAGGAATAAACTTAGTGTGAATGACAGGGGCAATGGACATGACAAAGAAAAAAAAACATAAAAGCATGCGGGAAAATACACGTGACATAGCCTAGGCCTCTAAGGCCTTGGTGCATGTAAAACTTCTCAATTTAGTAGAATGTTGTTGACCTAACCTAGGCCTATTGAAATATTGCTCAATCAATGAGGGTTCTCTGTCATCATATTATATCAGCCTGACTTAGCCAAAAACCAAACTAATAATAATACTAATAGGCCTAGGTAGCACTACCCTAGGCTTAACTAGCTAGGCTTCTAGTCTAGAGCCTCTAGGCATAGCTAGGGCTTAGGCTAGGCCCTACTGAATTTTCTTTTATTATAATTGTTGTATTTAAGGCCAGGCCTAGCCTACCAAGGCCTAGCCTAGTTCTGCTTAGCTAGGCCTAGGCCTAGGCTAGGGCCCTACCTACCTAGCATTACAAAAATAAAAACCCCGGACCTCTACAACAACGTTAACGGTCTCTTTGTTGTTAATCAGTAGCAATCTATTGTTTAGTAATACAGCAACAGCTTGCTAAAATTAGTTGGCTAGGCCAATGTACCGGAAGTACGGTGTTTCACTAACCTTCCCGTGACAGGAGGCCTGTCGCTACGGGTTCTTCTGTCACTGGATGAATCCAGGTTGTAGTCCGTGTTTCATCACTGAAATAACAAAATACATCGAATGTTAACTACCAGGTAAAGTTACATACTTGGAAATACATCTTAAATGTGTCTGGCCTTTTACTTACTTTATGAAAAATATTCTTCCGTCTGCTGTAATTGCATAATTCCAGGGTGGTGGCAAAGTCTCGCGTTGTAAACGCTCCGCCATCTTCACTCAGTTGTGTACTTAATGTTTTTGTTTGAAGGCAATCAATTATGCACACTCCCCTGTTAGTTTTCATGATCAACGTATAAAATGTGTAAGCATGCAATTTTTATCTGTCTACTTACAAAATAATCCACCAAAAGTCTAATAAAGTTTATAAATCTACTCGCTTAAACTTACTTTGTAAAAGTAAGTTTATTACACATCGAAACGGATTGTCTATATGGGGGAATGTTTGTATACCGCCCTTTGCTAGAACAGCCAGGTGATACAGGCGTAATCTCTAGAGGGCATCTGATACTTTTTCTTTGGTTTCTCTACTCAACCCCAGTATTCTTGAAACGAACATACACTCTGCATTGTCTAACCATTCCTTCATGGTTTGATCGAAATATTTTCATAATATAATATACCTTTTAATATATTATTTGTGCAAAAGAAATAACAAAGACTTAACACAAATATTATAAAAAATTCTGTTGTTTTACGACTGCAAAGAAGTATGATTTAATACGGATTTTTTGACAAGATACGATTTTCATTATTTTTAATATTTTGGTGCTTGTTTGTGAAGTGATGGCTCTAGAATATATTTTCTGGGGCTAAGCTATCCGACAGGGGGACTTGAGATCGCGTATACCCGAGCTAGGGGAAGTAGCTGAGAGAGTTCCCCCTCCCAAATGATGAGATTTTTTTTTAAAGAGCAACATCTGGATGGCCGGAAATGGCACTTTTAGGCTATGGCACACATGGTTTGGCTTGTTGTGGGCCTATTTATATATTTTTTTTTATGGTCTGACTGCCCGACAAGCTCTGTCTAAATGGGGGAGGGGGCGCTTGACCTGTCTGGTGGGGGACTTAAGCCCCTGTCCTCCGCTGGCGCCGCCACTGTGTCTGTCTTTCATTATTCGTAACTGCGAACTTTCGTTAGAGCAAGGAAAAATTAGATAGACCTCCTCTAATGGATCTGTTTGCTCGGAAAAGGATAAACCGTAGGCCAAGTGTAACTGGCTTGAAGGTACCAAGTGCATTATTCGAGACGATTAAGGGACCCCGGTTTACTGGTACAGACAGCCCCGACGTGTTTACCCGGGATGCGAAGAAAGTCATGCTGATCGAACATCTTTAAAAATGGTTAATCAGAGATCAGTAGTTTGCTTGCTTGTTAATATAATAACATTAAAATGATATAATAAAAATTCCGTCGTTTTTAGACTGAGTCTAATTTAACTATCACCGTCACCAAGACACGTGTCTGCAATTCGCACACTACTACAAATATTAGGGCCTAATTGTTTTTTAAATGAAAACAATGTCTGGCTGCATGTTAATATTATAAAATCTGAATAAACAATGGATAAAATATATTAAAATGCTAAAATAAGTTATCGACTACTCTAAGGAGACACATATCGAAACAAAGTTGTTGTCATTGATTTACATAACTTTACTAAACTATCCTACAACTGTCCACCCCACCCAATAAGGGTCTATCGGGGTCTTGCAACTAGTGGCGTGCCCATGGACCTATTAATAAGATGGACTTATTAATAGGTCCATGGCGTGCCTATCGCAGGTTCAGCAAGTTCAATCTGGGCCCCAGACCTCCAGGGGCCCCCGATCTATAAGGGTCCATTCTCTTATCAAAACATCTAATAATGCATAAATACAAATCTGGATTGAAGGTATTTATCTTCAAGTAATACTGCACATTAATAATTTAAAATTGTTAAAAATAGTCACTTATGACTAGGCCCATATGCCAGTTGTAAAAACTGTCACTCGAACCATCTCGAACATTAGATGGAAATCACGGTGAAAGAGCGATGGCACTACAATTAGTGTAACAGCATTCAAAGTGTTTGAGTTTGGAATATCCATGTCGATTGAAAATCATTTCAATTTTGTTATATTAACGAGAAGGGGGTGGGCATGTCATATAGCATTGGTACATTAAACATGAAATTAGCTGTCGAATTAAACTGCATTAAGAAAAATAATTGTTGTATTGTATTGTTGATATTAGTTACTGGTAAAATTATAAGGTATGAGAGTGCAAATTCCGGGCACCCTTAGGTCCATATTTTAGAATTTAATGTTCCCACCTCAGCCCCAAGTGGAGCTGAAGTGCTGTGGACTTGTATGCACCTCCACCCGGCAAAACCTGCACCCGCTCCCAGCATCCATAACAAGATCTATTAAACGATGAAGACATAACAGTTGAGTGGTACTTCCTAAAAGCATTGGTACATTTATAAGGTAATTTTCATTGAGATGTCTAATAATTTGATCTTGGACTTCCTTTTCAACAATTTTTGGTATGTGGCATACCACTGAGATTGGTCTATATATTGTTAGGGCTTTACCTTTGTATATGGATGTAGTCATTGAGGCTTTCCAATCGTTTAGAACCATACCATTCATTAATGATTTATTTATAATGGAACAGAGATTCCGCGATATAGCGTGTTGCAAGTCTAAGTTTCGTAAAATTTAGTGTGTGAGGAATACCATTTTTTTCTCCAAGATTTAAATGAATATTGTTTGAAATTTTGTTTATTCTTTTCATCTTACAAACGTTTGGGATCGTGTTTACATTTCTTACAACTGATAAAGAATAATCTGATTTGAGTTTTCAAATTTTACTCGTACATTTGTTTTGATCACAGTCATACACTATGAAATCAGGTGTCATCCTTTTCATTTTATTTAGCTTAATTAAATAAAAAATACAAGATAACTGTTGACATTGTTCATTGGTTAATCTGATAAAAACAAAACATCAATTCAATAAATATCGCCAATGTGCTTTTTCTTTTGGTCATAAGAAGTAGAAACGCTTCTTATTATGGTCAGTACAACCAATAGCCGGCTCTCCAAAGATGCCCTATGAGAACATACAAAAATTAAAAATAAAAAATAAAAATCCAAAGATTTATTGGCAAAATTATATAAAAACCGGAAGGACCCCTGCTCTAAAGCCAATCCATCGGTGGTACACACCATAGTTGACAGTCATTTTGCATGCACGAATGGCCCCAGCTGTAATCTTGAATCAGGGCCCCTCACAACCTAGTTACGCCACTGCTTGCAACATACAACTCATGTGAGATCACTTTCACGTACTAGTCTCAACCTCCCTTGCACTGGTCCAATATCATGGAATAATATTGAATCCTCTGTGAAAGATGGCAAAATCAATTAAGTTATTTAAAAAATATATATTTCATTTATTCTGGTTTTTAATTGAAGGTAATACAATGCTTGTTTTTGCGAAGTACCAGTGCTTCATCATTTTCTTGCTACGACGTTTCCACTTTTTTACTATTTTTCCTTTGCATTTATATTACTATTATATTTTATTTATATCCTTTCAAACATTAACATTATTTTTTTTATAAATTTAGCTGTAGTATGTTAGTTTAAGTGTATGCTACATGTTTCAGTGTTGTTTATACTTCTTTTCATTCTTATAAATTATTTATCGCTGATTAAAAAACATTTTAAAACCAAAATCGTTGAATGATTACCAGCAAAATTAAATGCAGAGAATACAGGAAAGGTATTATTTACATTTTAATTGCAGGAAACAATCTTCTTATTCAGATTTCTTAGTTTAATTGTAAGTTAAATACTTACTCAAATACACAAATTAAGAAATTAAAATATTTTTTTCTTTACCTTCTGAGCTAGGCCCCGCCCACCTGCACCCCGCCCTCAGATATTGTTGCAAAGGTCCAACAAAACAATAGCGTATACGCAAGTTATATACATGTGCGTTTGTGGGACAACATGCGCGTTTCTGAATCTATTGCGAATGCGCAGGTGTTCTAGTTTGATTGACACTCCGGGAAAGGTCCATTAATTGTGTCCGCCTTTCTGGACGGGTCCAGAAAGGGGGAAGGGAGTGAGTCGGCGATGTCCTGACCCCCATGAAATTTAGGAGTGCCCTTTTTTAATAAGGAAAAGTAATTTATACAGCTGATGTTAATAAAAATGTCATTCCACAAGGGAAAGAGCTCGAAAAAATGGCCCCTCCCCGACCATAATTTTTTTTTCAAAATTGTAAATTAAATCGATGGGGGTTCGGAAAATATTAAAAAAAAAAAACAAAAAAAAAAAAAAACAGTCAAGTCCATGCTCCGCACGTCGTTTAAAACAGTAAACCCGAATGCATACCCTTTTCCCTCTAGTTCCCCCCTCCAACACATGTCCGGACTCGCCCCTGTCATCTACTTAACTTCGGCTCATTGTCCCTCAAGTCAGTGATATTCCCCATTCAGCTAGTTCGTACTCTAGCTATTGGTATGTTCAAGTTGATTGTGTACACTTCATCTCACCTATCGTATCTTCTTAAAAGCCTGTTTTCACTAGGCGAATTGATTTGTACGAATCGAAAGCGTAGCTTCGCTTCCTCAGGTCTGATGGTTGCGCATTTCTTTCGCTTCGCATAAAGTAGAAACAGTTCGAACTACCGATTTCGCTGAAGCGAAAAACTTCGATAGGAACGTGAATGCGCATGCGTATGAACAGACGTTTCAATTCGCGCGAATAAGTTCGCCTAGTGAAAAACAAGGCTAAAGGCTGAGTGTCGAGTCCGAACCATAAAACTGCGATCGATATTCTCCAACTAGTTCTTTCTCTAGCTATTGGTTTTGTTTCTTTCATATCAACTGTTATTTATATTTAAACACGTTTTAAAGCGTCACAATCCTGACGTCATGCTAATCTGAGTAGCCTGCAATTACCTCACGCCTATTAAAAACATAAACATCCTGAATTCCCCAGTGCCACCCCCTCACTGGTTGTGATTCCGCACAAATAAAACCACATACTGTACATGCTGGTACAGCATGGCAATATTTGGCCTGTACATTTCGTTGAGAACGCTTTTATGAGAATTATATTCTTTCGACTGGTTTGTGAAGTGGACTTTGTTGAGAACGAAAATTCTCGGTAATTTGATATTCAGTCAGTTTAGTAACACTTGCATTAATATAAATTAAATTAGATTAATTACTACAGGATATTTAATTATAATTATAATTAACAATTATAATTCTATATTTGTTTACATTAATTCAACCTAGTAATTATAGGCCAACAAAAAGCAAAACAAAATTGAAATATTTGTTGACGATAAAAAATAACAGCCACAAACTGAGACTACCTTGTCGATGCTAGCGTGTATCGTGTTAAATATGTAGACATTCTTGTTTTGTTTCTACCAGTGTTCTGTTCGTTTATTTTTTATGTAGAATTTTATTACTGCACACACAGGCATGGGTTAAAGAAGAACAAGCAGTAATATACGGTAAAAAAAAGATGTCCATGCTATGATGTCAGCAGTTCTATTTAATTGGAAATGAAAATGGAAAATAAAATACTGCACTGTAAATTTAAAAAATAGTAGACTTCTATTTTGATTGGTTTGTGCATTAATTTATTTTACTTATTTCTATGACCATTAATATAAAAAAGACAATTATGTTTATATTGTAATTATCAAATGCTACATTGAAATAGAACAATTCGCCAAATTATATTCAATCAATCTCTTGTAAAAAAACACAAAATAAACAAATCTATCACATATCAGTTATTACCTATGGCTAATAGTTTTATCATTAGTAATGATTAAATATGCATTTTCCTTCATACTTGTATCACAATTTATTTAAAATTATTATTTATCATAATTGTAAATTGGACTTTATTCTTGTTCTTGCAATGTTATTTCATGAATAATTATATTGATGCTTTTGTTAAGAATATATTATCATCTTTATACTGTAGAAAATCACACAGTAAAATACTTCACAATCGTTTAATAACAGTGATGTAATTTTTAAATTCTAAAATATACTACTTTCACTTTCAATATTTTTGAATACCGATTTCAACTTATATGTACTTGGGACTGTGATTTTGATATCACCATAAACTTGTAATACTACGATTTTAATTTTCTTTCTTGGTCTGTTAACAATTTTCACACTTGCACCTTGATGCAAGAACGTACTGAAAAATACTGAGTTGTATTTAAACTTTACCGCAATAATGTTGAAGTAAACTCAATTACAAATTACATCATTACTGTATGTTAAACCTTGACAATAGCTTTTCCAAAGTTGGCCCCAGTGAACAGCTCATAAAAAGCTTTGAACATATTGTCAAATCCTTCAGTCACATGCTCTTTGTACGCCATCTTACCCTGAGAGGAAAAAAAAACAAGAGAAAATAAGTTTTTTTTATAGAGGGCACAAGTGCATTATCTACCTTTTTATGTTTCACAATTGCGACACCTTTTCAAATTCTAACAATCTTTTTAGAATTGACCCATTTCATCATTATAGTATATCAGTACTTGTTAGGTTTGTAGGTTCACATAAATAAAGGAAAACTATGCCAGTATCAACTCAACCATGAATTAACTTTATTCAACACAGTGAAACAACACCGAGAGAGGTCGTCTGCGACACTGTCTCTCGATCCAGTCACTATATTAATGCTAACATATTGCGCAATACGCAATAATAGTGTCATACATAACAGTACTGACAACAATCTCAGATGTGTCTTAGTGACTGCTGAGGGGAGCATGTTTATGGTCACCCAGTAGCAAGAAAAACCAATAGCTGAACAAAGGGGCAGATGAACTCCTCAGAGTCAACGGCCAAACATTAATTAGTTTAAGGAATAGGACTAGTTTAATAATAATAATAATAATTCTGATTTTTATAGCGCCTCACGTTGACACAACCTCGAGGCGCTTGAACATTATTACCCCCGGATCACTGGATCAAGCACATATAGAACACACACTCAAGCCCCATGGGGAAATTCCATAATGTTGCAGCTGTATTCAGAGCAGGCTGTGTTTGAACCTACCAGGTACCCACTTGACAATCGTAGATAAAGTGCCTTGCCCAAGGACAGAAGCGACTTCCACAGCAAGAGTTTTGAACCCCCGACCTCAAGGTTGGGAGTCCAAGCCACAACCGATGCGCCAACCACTTCTACATTTAGCCTCATTGTTATTATTATTATTTTGTATTTTATTTTATTGTTATTAAACTATATTTTATTTTATTGTTATTATTTTAGTGTTATTTGTACTTTCTCGGTTGGCCTATATTATTTCTGTATAAAGCACATAGGGGCAATGTGCAATATGCGCTATATAAATATGACATTATTATTATTTTTTTTATTATTATTATTATTAATACTAAAATAATAATATAATAAACAAGTATTTTCAGAGCACTCTATACAATAAAGTCTCAAAGCGAACTGTGCATAGCATAATCTTCTGAAAAAAGTTGGCACTTCAGTTGTTATTTGAAGGCATCAAGATATGTAAAAGTAAGGCAATTATAGTCTTGTCAATTCACAAGTTTCTGTGAAATAATGGCTTTTTTAATTACTTTTGGATAATATAAACTGATCAAAGCTCCTTTGACTCAGTACAATAGAGCCCCTACTAGGGGGAAATCTTCAGGACCAAGAAAAGTGTCTCCTTATTAGGGGTGTCCCCTTAATAAGGGGTGTCCCAAAGGAAGGGGTTCTTCTGTAATAAATATCTCTATAGACAAATCTATTTGTGAGTTTTTAAAAGAGCATCACTGTTTGGGACATTCTTAGGGTCACCCATGGTAAAGATAAAGGTAGGAGAATAACCCATAACTCGCAGCGTCATTGTGCTGAATTGCGTATGGGCGTTGTCCGTGACTACTTAGCCGCTGTAAAGAGGCACTTATGATAGCTACATGTCCACATCATTCCTAGACATACAGTAGATGGAGACCTCCGGTGGGGGATTCTCTATGAATTGTCATGGCAAGTCTTTAGAACAGATTACAATGACAGCAAAACAGTGTATGTATGCACAACTCCAATACCGTAAAACCTTGAATTGAAGCCCAATGGTCTTAATCTCAAGATGAAGCCCATTTCGAATTGCAGCTCCCCCTTTTTAGTTTGCAAAATTAGCCTCAAAAAGAGGCAAATGGGCTTCTTTTCAAGATAGCATAGGTTTCTTTTTGAGATAGTACAGGGCATACACTGAACATGAATTTCAAAAAAACAAATAAAATAGGTGATTTAATGCAAGTTACATACACTCCGTTATACAGATTGATACAGTGGCCTTATTTATTGTCTCATAGTACAAATTCACAAAATTTCCAGCAATTGTTTTGAAAAGAAGCCCCCCACCCATTTTTACTAGGCAAAAATAGCCTCGTAAAGATGCCCATCCAAAGTTCGCAAAAAAAAAGCCACTCAGGGCATTTTATGGTATTTACATTTGTAGCAGACAATGTGAGAATCTATCCATCTGCAGAGAGAGAATAATCACTGCAAATGGATCAGTGTATGACATAAAATGGCTACGTACCTCAGCGATGTATTTCATGAATTTTTCAATACCTTCAGGCCATCTATCAGCCCATCTTCTCACAATGAATCCCTCAATTTTCAGCTGTTTACTAACGATTGGAAACTGTATAACTAAGGTAATAATAAAACAAACATTTCAATATTTCAACAGTAAAGTTTGGTGCTTAAAGGGGAACTCAGGGTTTGAAATTTTTCTACATATATCGTTTATTTATTACATTATGATTAGTTATGAAATAAATTGGGAGAAATAGTTTGGGAAGAATTTTGGGAAAAAAACAAGGAATGAAATTTAACATCGCAGTTGTGTTGAAAACAAGGCAGAACATGTTTTTCAATTTAGCTTGGTAATTTTACAAGAAAACTCATTAAAATTCATGATTCCAACCTGTCTGTCCTGGGTTCGCGATATTACTGAATTCTTATGTTAAAAATCAGTGGCTGTTTAAGGGTAGGGACTGTTCTCTTATACACATCTAGATGTGTATAAGAGACAGTGATATACGTGATTGAAGTAATAACCACCGAATCCGTAAGGACATAATGAGAAAAGCGCTGATGACAGCCAAATCCAAATTATACTAAAACGTTTTTTATTCAATGACCAGTCCGTATTCTTAACTATTTTACGATAGCGAACATAAGAGAGTATCGCCAATGCTTGTATCACAACAAGTGAACACGCACAGAATGTATATGAAATAAATTGGGAGAAATAGTTTGGGAAGAATTTTGGGGAAAAAACAAGGAATGAAATTTAACATCGCAGTTGTGTCAAAAACAAGGCAGAACATGTTTTTCAATTTAGCTTGGTAATTTTACAAGAAAACTCATTAAAATTCATGATTCCAACCTGTCTGTCCTGGGTTCGCGATATTACTGAATTCTTATGTTAAAAATCAGTGGCTGTTTAAGGGTAGGGATGCGAGCCAGCCACCCCCCCTCCCCCACCTAATTTAAAAAAAATCTTAATCACAGCTTCAGCCCTAAACATGGTGGTGTTGAATTAGTGGTTCAGACCCTCTATCTGTGAAAGTCCTATTTTGAATTCCTAAATCTGCCACTGAAAATACCCCTGTAGATAATGGTTATCTCTAGAGATCTGTACTATACTGCTGTGCAAACGTAGACTAATTTATCCATCCTGTAAGTGGCGATATATCGCTGTTGGTGTGGAATAAATGAATAAATAAAGCCCTCTCCCACCTAGGTTGAGTTCATCCAAGAGTCCTCCGAGTTAAAAACCTGTGAAACTTGAGATTTAATTCGCTTTTGAAAGGACCTCTATATGAGCTTACTACGTGTTAGGTACAAGTAAGGTATGACCTTACGGAGTTGATTACGAGTTATGTACGAATTATACCGAGCAAAGCACTGAGTTTACTACAAGATTATTAGGAGTGTAACAAGTTTGTACCGAATTAGATACGAGTTAGGCACGAGCATTCCAATCAAATGTTCCTGATGATCATAACCAACTCGGTGCGCCTTGTACTCGTACTCTTCTCGGGGTGCTCGCATCAAACTCGTGGATTACAAAACCGCCAACGAGTATCACAAGTAGTGTATGAGTTAGGTGGGAGCGCCCTGAGTACTCTACGAGTTACCTATGAGTCCTTTGAGTTTATTACGAGTTGTCAACTCGAACTCATAGCACTAATTTTGAACATGTTCAAAATTAGTGCCAGGAATTCAGAGCTGCTACGAGTAGGTACGAGTTCTTCCCGAGCTTCCTTAATCGTCCTATGAGTTTATGCCAAGTAGCAACTCGGCAAACTCTTCTGACTCTAACTCCTATGCTGAAAAAAACCCTAGTGTGAGAGGGGAAGTGGCAGCCTACGTCTGGTCAAAATTGCATTGTGTTGATGTATTGTACTAATTGTGGCAACCCTAGCCAACAAAACATTCATTTTGACAGAAAGTCTGTGCGTCAAGACTGGGCCTAACTTAACACTACTCCCGATGTCTTAGTACAGATTATTTTATCCTTCCTTAGGAATTAAGGAGCAGGATAATTCTTGAAGGTTTGTATGGTGAATTGCATAATAAATAATTTATAAGTTTTCGGTTACACCATGCGGCTTATGCTACAAATCTGAATTGATTATTTTGGTTCTGAAAAAAACCGTTGAATTGTAAATTGTCCCAAAAATTTTTGTTAGTAGTATACGCTACCGTAAAAAAATGACAGTTGAATGAACTTGATCGGGCGTTTGGAAACGAAGTTATGTCCGTTTGAATAATTATCATTTTATCAACTTTCTTATCAAAACTTTCAAAGTTTTGAGAAAAATACCTTTATTTTCGGCAGGTTTCTATTCATTTTTCACTAACTCCCATCCGAAAATGGCTAAATTTTACCTTTTACAGTTGGAATTTTAAACTCAAATTTCAGTAAGATTAATAGTTATAATTTTGTTTATTACACAAAAACCCAATTCATGTTCTACCGTCTATTCTGGCTATTGAGGCTTGTTCCTCAATACAGCGTGGCGCAAGTTTACAACCCAATATGATCTTGGGTCACATTTATATACCATACTGATTCAGAAAAAACGTCCTATGGTCCAATTCAGAAACGACGACAGGCAACTTATTTCTCTCACGATGTATTTTCCATTGGATGTTGAGATTAAACCTCCGGATTGCTGCATAATTCAGGGGTGCAGCCAGGGTAAAATTTGTGAGTGCAGCTAGGCACTAGGCTGGGGGCCGGGGGTCTGAAAAGGCCCCAAAACATGTGTGCTATTTTATGTAATAAAACAGAATTGAGAGAGGTTTTACCATATTAATTTCTATAAAACCTCTAACAAAAATTATCAGTCTGAAAGCAATTTGTAAATAAGAAAATAAATTCACTTCCCCGGTTCCACCAACAAAGGGTAATGATTATATAATAACAAACCTCTGATGAATGCCTATTTTCAAATAAATCTTAAGAACAGGCTCGTTGTTCTGTTACCTACTACAAGGGTTTTCTTGGGCATGAGAAAATGTATGCCTACTAATCGCAGGGATGGATCAAGAATTTGTTTGCCGGGAGAATAATAGGGAGGAGTCCGCACCCACCTGGCAAAAAAGTATGTCTTGTACTCTAGTAAACAATTATGATAGATACAATTAACTTACTCTGTGTTGGTGTCTTTGCATTGTAACCTGAGATGGCTCCGCACATTGCTATTCTGCCAAAATCATTCATAATGTTCATCACAGTACTTGTTAATTCACCTCCAACCTAAAAAAATCCCAATGACTATTAAAGGGCTTAAAAAGATTAAGGTAGGCTTTGGATAGCTAAGAAACATGCGAAAAATTATAAGGGGATTGTAACACCGTCTTTATATATACTTTTATTGGTACCAGTTTATCGGGTAGCTCAGACATGAAGAGACCCTTAGTTCTTTGACACTTCCTTATAATGAGCTATTAAAAAATCTAACTATAAAACATGTTTGTAAGCCCCTTTCAACATCCAATCCATCTGCTTGCAATGTTTATAATTTTGTTTTTCTGATGTATCTAATGTCTGTATCTTTTCAATGTTGAGAATTTCAAAATAAATTGAAATCTCGCCATGCTTCAGTATTATAGGTTATTATAGGTACAGTTCCTGACACATCAAGGGTGGAAGTGGTCATTGCTACAATGCTACAGTGCGTATTTTGTACTCTAAATCGTAACGCAAAAACAAATTTTTTAAATTAAAAATTTGACCACTATACTTGATTTTGTAAGTATTTTTGACATCACTAATCAATTCCTTGGCCTTAAAAACATATATACAGACCATAATATTACTTCAGATAAAAAATTATGACCTTTTCACATATTTAAACTGCCGAAAGGGGGTAATGTTCCCCCCGCCCCCTCAATTTTTAATTTTTTTTAGCCCGCACTGTCTCATTTTTTTAAAAAGTGTCAACATTCTCAGAACAATGGACAGCTTCATTTTAAGAACTGTAAATTTGATATTTGATACATTACCCATTATAGCCCACCAGTACTGGTTGTATCTCACAATATCCTTCAAACCTATTTTTAATGGTTTATTACATTAAACTGGGGCAAAACATATCTTAGCTTTTACTATCATTATATAGCGATCATTTCTGAAATCCCAAAATATAGGGCTTTTCCACAATTTTTGTTCCACAAGGTCATGTCAAAATAAAGGTCAAATGGACATTTGAATTTAAATTCATTGTACTGCAATTCTAATTACAGATTTGGAATCCTTGTCCAATCTCCTTTAATATGGTACTGGCTTTATGAACCAGTACATGACCAGTACATTTTCATCTATTTGCATTTGAAAAATGGCGGTCACGCATAACTTTACCATTTTAAGTCTTTTTCGGCAATTTTTGATCGGCCATAAATTTTGGTCCGTTGTTGCAATATTGAAAAAAAATGAAATTTCGCTTTTTCTTACCCAAATGAACCAAAGTCAAATTTGGTCAAACCTGAGATGGTGAAGTGTAAATTTCTCATTTTTTTGGGTGATCTGACATGGAATTACCATATGTAACATGGGAACAGGGATGTTTGTTTAAGCACCGCTCTCAAATAAATGCCGCTCTCGAATAAGCGCCCCGCTGAAGCCTCCAAAAATTTTATAAGCGCTTATGCGCTTTTTTAAGCATTTACGGTAAGATGACAATATTATTATCATTATTATATTATTGATCAAATGAAAGAGTAAAGAAATCAAAGTATAAGTTACATTGTCAAAATACATGTGTATGCCATCTGGACACATGTCTTTTATAGTTTTCTCTAAATTAGTCGTCGTCTTGTAGTTGAACGCATCATCGTAACCAATTTCTTTTAAGTATTTAATCTTCTCTTCTGATCCTGCCGATCCAATTACCCGGCAACCCTTTGAAAAAAGAATATCAGCAGCGAATCAAAAAATAAAAATACTAATAATGTTAAAATTATTTTTATGATCAGTGACATTCTATGCACGAGGGGTTCATAAGCAGCATTTTGAGAATGTCTTAAGTAAAACAAATGTATTTTTTTTCCTCTCTTTTAACACAAAATAAATAAATAAATAAATAAACAAATAAATAAATATAAATAAATAAATAAATATAAATAAATAAATAATAAATAAAAATAAATAAAAACAATGATCAGTGATAGCTCATGCACAAGGGGTTCATAAGCAGCATTGTGAGAGTGTCTCAAGTAAAACAAATAATGTATTTTTTTTCTCTCTTTCAACACTAAAAAAAAATAAATAAATGAATAAATATAAATAAATCAATAAAAATAAATCAATAAAAACAAATAAAATAAATAAATAAATAAAAACAAACAAAAACCTGAACAAATAAATAAGTAATATTTCTTACCAATATTTTTCCAAGTTGTCCCACTACAGCACCGACGGCCCCTGCTGCTCCACTAACAAACATAGTTTCTCCAGCTTTGGGCTTCAAGATCTCTGTCACTCCAAAGTATGCTGTCATTCTGCAAATCATAAATAGCTTTTACGTTTTTTGTTTATTATACTTTTACTATTTAGCTAGGGTAACCCTTCATGCGTATCTTAAAAATTTGATTGACATTCAGGGGCCTCTTCAATAAATTAAATAATGTAATGCTTTTATCAGCTAATTTTCATTATGATGCTCAGGGAGTGGAGATGTGTTTTAGTTGTGACAAAACAATTCTGTGCTGTCACATGATTTAAACCAAGGACCTTGGGATTGGAAGGCAAGCACCTTAACCACTAAACTACATCTCTACATAAAGCATGGTTTCCATACCATCGCTACAGCGTTTTCACTGCAATCCTTGCCCTTCGTACAGTAGCTGCCCCGACGCAATCGGGAATGCTCACTGATTCAACTGACCAATCAGCATCACCAAAGGAGTCGTGATAGTGTGTAGTGATTTTTATGGAAACCAAGCTTTTAGTTAAACATAAAATATTCTGAGAAAATGATGTGAGGTGCATTCCCTGTATCAGCATTTGAAGTATGGCTTATCCTGTTATTACATCAATTTTTGTTGGATTCATTACTGTTCTGCTTTTTATATGTTAAAAGCACTTATTAATAGCTAAGGGTTTTACAAAGGTTCATTATTGCTAGAGGTGCTGTCTTCAGTCTCCTCTTTATTATAAGACAGGTTCCACCTTATTCTTGAAGTCAAGGGGCATAAATGACAACGCTGACTGCTTACCCAGGCATTCCAAGTATTCCGAGTGACAGCGAATACGGAAGATCAGCAGGATAAGCTGGAACCTTCCTTAGCTGTTGGCCATTGGAGATTGCATGAGTACACCAGCCCGACATGCTCACAACATTAGTTCCCACTGGATAATCGGAATTCTTGCTCTCTATCACTCTGCCAATGAAAAATAGTTTTCGTAACTGTATAACTCCATTCACACTATCAAATTGTTGATATGATATGATGTCATACTACAGCTAATACATTATGGGCATACAACATAATAGTCGCATCTCTTTATACTGTCAAAAACATCTCAACTCATTTACCTCTACGGCATTCAACTCATTTAGATCTTCTGTCAATGTACCATATATACTGCACTTGCGCGAATAAACGCCCCGTTTGAATAAGCGTCCTTCCTAACGTGAAAATTGTCTTAAGTGCCCCGTTTGAATAAGCGCTCCCTTAATTTCGAACAAGCGCCCGCCGTTTCCTAAAAGAATTCAATCATACAGTACAGTACAGTACAGTACAGTACATCACCAACTTAATTTTCTGCATAAACTATTAGCATCTATCTTAGCACTGTCAGTAGGTATAATGTAACTCTAGAACATATATATCATATTATATCCAGTGACGGATTAAGGGGCCCCCTAAATAAGTCAAAATTTTTAAAAATGGGAGACAAAAACAAAAAATAATATTCAAATTTTAAAGTCTTTGAGTGCCATTTCCGCCAATCTAAAGGCGCCATAATCACAGGTGATACAGACCGTTGTACAATGCATCAGTGAAAGTACCTCCCTGGGCCCCTCTAATTCAAATTCCTACTAGATCCGCCACTGATACAGGAATGGCACCAGTTGGGTGCCACCCCTGCACTGATATCATATAATTTATTTTGTTAAAAACATTTATAATACAATATAATGATTAAAAGAACACATCTAATTCCCACAACGGAATTGGCGAGCAGGACCCAAAAAAGTCTAAGAAAGCATTTCCACTAATCATTACTGATTATTCATTGGCACAAGAAGTCCAAGTACTTGTTATTAAATCTATAGAACACTTATTGTGTAATTAACTTAATTTACTGAGACCACCTCCCTCCACCCCCACCCCTTTAAAAAAATGGAGGAAAATAGAAAATTATATTGAAATTTTGATCTGAGTGCATTTCCCGCCAATCTAGAGGTGCCATAACCACAAACTTTCTTACCTCAGCCCCAACCACGTTGGGGTTGAGGTAGTCGACACTCCATCTGGGAAACTCCTTCCCAATTTCTAATTCCTCGATCTGCCACTGTGAGATGCTTAAAATTACTATATGTACCAGTTTCATAACTAGTGCTACATCTTTTTTTAGAATATTAAAAAATGTAAGTATAATTATTTGTACCTTATTGCTTTATTAGCAACATTCTATAGACTAGAAATGATAGTGAAAAGCCTACATGAATGCTTTGTAATTGTGATTATAAAACAAAACCAGAGCCTTGCAGGCGTCAACGTTCCTATGCATGATACACGACTTTTAGAAGTATATATACGTGTATATATATATA